TTACATTTAATAAAGATATTATTCTAATATAAGAAGAAGAATCGGAATTAAGTAAGCCTGTATTGTATGCCAGTTACAAAATTGCTCATTATTGCTCTTATTGTATGTGAATCACGTCCATTTAGCATTGGTCCATTTGTCAAACAATGTTTAGAAATTGCCACAGAAATAATATATCCTAATGATTTTAATAAATTTAAATCAATTAGTCTCTCTTCTCGAACTGTAGTACGTTGCATTGAAAAATTAGCTGAAGCTCTCGAGCGACAATTGGTACTAAAAGCAAACAATTTTATTGCTTTTTTATTAACTCTCGATGAGAGTACTGATATCGTTGATACTGCACAATTGACAATTTTTATTCATGGTGTGGATAGGAACCTCTCTATTACTGAAGAACTTTTAAATATAATAAAAGGTACCTCTGAAAGGTACTACCACTGGAGAAGATATATTGTTTAGCGTTGAAGAACCAATAGAAAACATAAATCTTGGGATAAATTAACTTCAGTTGTTACTGATGATGTTGCAATGATTGGACACAATATGGGTTTCGTAGAACGTTTAAAGTCTAAACTAGCACAATCAAAACAAGAAATACATTCGATCTATTGTATCATTTATCAAGAGGTATTATGTGCAAAATCTTTAAAGTATGTAATAAAGTAATGAAACTTGTAATCAAAGTTATAAATTTTATTAGAACTATTGGATTGAATCATCGTCAATTTCGCGAATTTTTATCTTCTTTAGAGTCAGATTATGCCGATATCTCCTATTTTTACGAAACACGATAGCTTAGTCGAGGTAAAAAGCTCTTCAACATTTCTTTCTTTACGTCAAGAAATAGTTATATTTTTAGAAATGATAAGTTTGTGCCTGAACTATCACAGCCTTCCTGGATTGCCAATCCCACCTTTCTTGCGGATATCACTAATCATTTAAATATATTATAAATTATATTATAAATTATTCTTTACAAGACAAAGATAAATTAATTATTCATATGTTTGATCAAATTAGAAAATGAAACTTAATTTATGGATCAATCAATTTCAATCTCGACAGTTGTTGCATTTTTCAAATTTATTATCTGTTGCCATGCACATTCAAGATAAGCAATAGAAATGAAGAATATATAAATTCACTTCAATTATTACATAATGAATTCGATTGTCGGTTTAAGGAATGCATGTTTTAGAAGAAGACTTACTTATTTTTATGACACCTTTTACTGTTGATATTAATATTGTTCCCGCAGATATACAATTAGAATTAATAGATTTAAAATGTGACATTGCTCTTAAAAACCGTTTTATACAATGACTGACATCGTACAATTTTATTCATATATATCTCAAGAACGTTTTCCTCAACATGCTCATGCTGCAAAAATAATGAGTATATTTGGTTCACATATTCATGTAAACAATTATTTTCTATTATGAAATTAAATAAATCGCGATTACGCGAACAGTTAATAGATTCACATTTGAATTTTGCAATAATTCGTTTAAGTTGTGCCAAAACGATAACACCTGATATATCGTATATAATATCGGAAAACTGTGAATCAAATACTAATTAAATGTTATAAGAGTTGTTTATTTAATATTATTGTAAGAATTTATTTAAAATATAGATAGTTATTAATTTATGTTAATTCTGGGTTTGAATTTGTGCAACATAATATTTTTTTATTCCTTGAACAGCACGTTCAATGAACAGACGTTCCTGTTATCCTCTCTCCTTATTTTATTGCATCTAGCCGCCTAACGCTAGCCCCAGCGCGCTCGACTGTTGCCCGCGGGCATTGGGCGTCCGCGAACAGTGCCCACTTGCTGACCCCTGGACCTCGGTCTAGAAGATCGAGATGAATCAATATTCGTTTGGCGGCAAAGTGAGTAAGAAGGTTCTAGTGTATATGAATGAGCCTCTCTTCGTGTTTCCAAAAAAAAAAATTGTTTGATCGAGCTTTTAATGCTCAGGGCATTAACTATTTTGTGTTTTTGGATTTTAATATCCACATTAACATCTGCGCAGTAGACTTTCTGCAAGTAATACATTTTCGGCAAAAATACACATGGCATCCGTGAAACAAAAGCCTGGTCGGCCATATTAATAGTTGCATTTTTCGGTGTGCTCTTTTTGTTTTTAGTAAGAACTTGGCTAACTTCGTTTTTTCATACGACGTACATATATATGTACGTATATATATATATATTAGATTGCAATAAAAAAATATTGTATTATATATATTACATATAAAAATACGATATTATATATTATACAATTTAATATATAGTATATTATATTAAATCTTATATGAAATTTATTGCTTATATTTTTTAATGTGCGTTGAACTTATTTTTTATTCTTTATTCCTTTTATAATTTGCTCCATTGTTTAGAAATATATGCTTATATGATATTTTTGTTATGTTACAATGTTACCACACAAATTGTTCATAAAAAAGATCTACATATATATTAATATATTTATGGTTGAATGGAGATTTCTCTTATCGACTACAACATAGAGCCATTGAAGAAATATCTATACGTCTGACAACTCAATTAAAGCCATCAATATCTATAGAATTCGCAAGAAAACCACGAAAAATGGATTATGTAAAATTATAGAAAGTCACGGAATATATAATAGATTAATACTGTTGTATACCGGCCCATTGACTTTTAAATCTATTTAAAAAAAGTGTGTACATCTATTTTATGACATTACATATAATTATTGGAATCTTGTCTTCAAAGTATTTGCACAAGCATCTATCTTATGCACAAGATCTGATTATTTTTTTATTAAAACATTTATCAAACTTTATGGAGTGCAAAACGTGTCACATAACATCCACAGCCTTATACATCTTATAGACGATGTCAAAAAATTTGGATCACTTAATAACTTCAGTGCGTTTAAGTTTAAGAACTTAAGTTTGAGAACATGCAAGTATTTAAAAAATATCTCAGAAAAGCAGAGAAACCTTTACACAACCTTTAGAACAAATTGTACGGAGATATATTGAAAAAGAAATTAATTTAAGTACATCATCGATTGATTTGTCGGATTCCATTTTGATATTCCATTTTGACATCCAACTTTAATGTCCTTACATAACGATGGTCCACTTCTATCCGATTACAATAATCCATAATATAAAATTATCAAATATTACGGAGTAACATTTCAAGCTGGAACACTTGCAAATAGTTGTTGTGGTTTAAGTTGTGATGCTATTGTATGTATTGAAAATGTGGCACATTGCATAAAGCAAAATATTCCTGTCATTATCGGATACGAATTTTTGGAAAAAGAAGATCTATTTAACGTTCCCTGCTTATCTTCGTTACTTAGGATTTATTCCGTAAAATCATGCTCAGATTTGAAATCATGGCCATTGAAAAATATTATTAAAAAATATGTCAAATTGCCATGCGGAAATGATAAATATGCAGTCTTCCCATTACACAATGAAATGTAATTGATATTCATTCACATAGAATGACATAAATTTTATGCAATCGTCGAATTCGAAGATGGACCATAAGTAATACCAAATAATTGGTTAAGTGGAGACTTAACAAAAACTTTTTGGCCAAACTTTACGAATAACAAACGATACGATAAAATGGTGAAACTTATGGAGGAACCGGAATGTACTTGGTTGGAATATGCCATTCGAAAAATATATAGAACATTTCGTAAGCAATGTTATATTCTTTTTTGGAATATATTATTAGAGTCTTTTGCATGTAAATATGTGTTGATATTTTTTATTTTGAATAATATAAGAAACTATGATTTATTAAATTATACATTCATAAAAAATCATTTATTAAATTATATTTAAAAAATAATTTATCATTTTTTTCAGATAACTATGTAGTAGCAAGAAAAAAGTTGAAAGATGCCGAAGAGTTATCCGACATTAACTCTGGCACTGAAATAAAGGAGAATTTAAAAAAGTCGAGAAAAATCAGAGCCGCTAAAGTTATCGACAAATCGAGTAATGAGGAATCATCTGATGATGAAATGGCACTAATCTCACAACTTCCGAAATTTTCAAACAAGCATTCCATGACTGCAGAAATCACTAAAAAAGCATTAAAAATTACAAAGGATGCACAAAAAGGTAAGCGCAGTAAAATAATAATAAAAATAACAATAATAGATTAAAACAAGAACATTTTATAATTATAATAATAAAATACCCATTTTTGGATTACAGATTTTAACTGTTGATAAAAAAAATGCAAATAAAAGACAAATCGTGCGTGCAAAAAATAATAGATTCTTACAAATATGATTTTCATCAATTCATTTTCGTTCATTCAATTATATTGAAATGATATGATAATAAAAACGTTTTATTATTTTTAGGTTTGCATTGCAATGAAAATGTGCTTGATGCATCCGCAGAACAATCATTTGATGACGAAATTAATAATACAAATGTGCCAATCCGACAAAGAGATGAGACATCAAATCCATTAATGAATAAGTAAGGTACATTGCACATAATTATATCTATTTTAGTTTTACTATTACTTTTTATATATTTTAGAATTATAACATTTATTCTTCAATAATTTTGCTTTAATACTTTAATATTAAAATTATGTTGTTATAATATAATGACAAAAACATTTTATTATTTTTAGATTTGCATTGCAATGAAAATTTGTTAGATGCATCCGCAGAACAATCATTTGATGATGAATTTAATGCGAACATGCCAATCCGATTAGGAAACAAGACATCAAATCGATTGATTAATAAACAAGGTACAAAGCACGTAATTATATCTATTTTAGTTACTATTATTTTTTTTATATTTTAGAATTATAAATATATTTAAATATATTTTTCAATAATTTTGCCTAATATTTTAAAATTATGTTAATATAATGACAAAAATATTTTATTATTTTTAGATCTGCATTGCAATAAAAAAATTCTTAATTCATCTGCAGAACAATCGTTTGCTGACGAAATTAATGCAAACGTGCCAATCGATCTAAAAAAGATATCAAATCCATTAATTAATAAGCAAGGTATAATGCAAATAATTCTATATTTTCAAATTGTCATTTTAATTCTAAATTGTGTATATTTTTATTTTAATTACGATTATTTTTATAATATATTTGTGAACCATAGCACATTTTATTCTTAAATAATTTTTTTCTGACACTTTTTTTACTTATTTTTGTATTTTCAATATGTGCATTTTTGAAAAAATTTTATATTTTATTTATATATATATTTTACATTTTATCTATACACACACACACACACACACACACTATATATATA